GAGCCGAGACTGAGCCACCGGTAACAAGTGCTCGGGTCGAGCACGCACATGCGCGCAGCCACATCCACCCCCTTGTCTTTTCCATCTTCCCTTACAAACCCCTTTCCTCTCCTATCGTCCCTCGCCCTCCAACCCCCACCGCTTATTTCCTTCCCCACTCGGCGTTAATCTTTCTCGATACAACCTGCGACCAATTAATCGAGCGCTTTGCGCTTTTCTTCACCGGCCGAGGCAACGAGTTCCTCTTCCACTCTCGAGCGTTTTCGACGTCGCAAGTCGCGTCGGACTGGGTTGCATGGCTGTATGTGTAAGCCGGCGAGGAACCATGCTCCTTTACGTACCTTTAGCCTCTGAAAAAAAGCGTTACACGTTAGAATAGACGACGTTCGTAATATCGTAACGAATATACTTTCACGCAATTTTCCGTACGAAATAAAATAAAGCGAAACTACTCGTGTAAATATATTTTACGATCGTAACCATGGTCACCTCCGAACAAGGTGGAACGGTGAAGCGGTGGAACGCTAACCTGACTACCGGCAGCAGTAAATCCGACAGGTGTGTTTACGTTCGTTAAGGACGCAGGACGAGAGGGTTCCGTGAAAAGGCCGGAAGATGCTCGGCTCGCGAGCACCTACCAATCAGCTGGCTTTGCGTTAATTCAACCTAAAGCCGCGCGGCGAGGTTTCCGTTCTTTTCTCGCAGAGGCCGTTTCTTAGTCAGTTCGTGACGACGCGTGCCCTCGACGCGACGTACCTCTCGATCTCGTTCGATAAATCCATTTTCCCCTGATCGATCCGCGACCATTCCACGACACGCTCTCTTCTTTCCTGTTGTCGTCGTCAACTTGCCGGACGGACGTTCGCTTTTACCCAATTCCCTCCTTTCGATTCGTGTTGATCGATCGGACTCGACCAACGATCGATCGGCGATCCGACCGATAAAATCCGACTGTCTGACAACGGTGAACGATTTCGTGATAATTCGTCAAGTCGGAGCGGCACGGAACGATATTCGTCTCGAAACGTGATACGACGGGATCGTTAAAGTTGCTCGGGTTCTAAAAAAGGGGAGCAGGAACGCGCGTTCGTATAAAAGTGCGACAAACGATCAACGATCGAACAAGGAGAGAAGATTATCGAAGAATTAACAACATATCGTCGTGACGATAGATATTGTCGCGTCAGTTTGCTATGCAAGCGCGATACGTATGTAAATTTACCGCGTATTAACATATTCGAAATTATCCGATGAAAATTGTTGTTGCACGCGATAAAAGATAATTACGTAATTAGCCCGTAATTATTTCCTTCTATGTGTACGTATCTTTTTGTTCCTAGAACGGTATTTCGTATATATATACATATTTATATAACGGTACTTTGTCATGTATAAACGAACGACACGGTTACGTGGTTATTTCGTATATTTGTATAAAAAATAAGTGTGAAATTTGCGTTGTACAGTGAAAAACGATGAATGTTGATAAGTACGAGAAGTGCCAAAGATATCGGTGAGGCGAACCTAGACGAAAACAGCGACCCTTTTGTCGGCCAGGTAAGCGCAACGAAAGACCTTGGAAATCTTTTTTGCTTCTTCCACTTGCGATTTATGCAATTCCTACTGTATTCCCGTTATTACCGCCATGTGATCTACGGAGCATGTACTCGTGTATTCGGCTCGATGATTCTTACACGTTCTGTAATCATACAGGTCTATCGCTCCGTTAAACGATCCTACTCGTTACGAAGTTACATACTTCTCTTGTACTCGTAAATCTACGATATAATTCGCTGTACTAAAAGCATGTTAAAACGGAAGGTTAGTTTTACAAAGCGTTTTACAAAGTTTGAGCTATCTAGATATCTTTTTCGAATCGGAAAAACTGAAAATCATTCGAGTCTTTGTTCGAGCGAGACCGAGACAGAGGGTGAAGAAATACCTTTGTATACCAATGAATAGCGGCATAGTTACATTTTGCCACCGCATATAACACGATTTAATTTTGTTCGTTTGCTTTGAGACTATAGCTTCCTTCAAGTTGCGTAAAGCGTTTTGTAGGTATTTGTACGAAACTAAATTATTGTTTCTACAAGTTATACATTCTCTCTCTCTCTCTCTCTCTCTCTCTATCTCTATCTATCCATCTATCTATCTATCTCGTGTACGATCGTAGGGATTTTAGTGAAATTCCAAGCTAATTTAAAATCGACTAATGCGGATTGCCATTGTTATTCGTGTTTTATTTGCTGACACAAGCTTTAAACATAGTTCGGAAGTTCTACATACGGAGCTTGTGTTCATCTATCGTATACAAAGTTCGTGTGAGTTGAACCGAGATAAAAACATTTGTGCGTTGCGCGAATAACTTTGAATGCTACGAATAATACAGACGATGTTGGTGGCATGTTCGAATGTTCGTTCCATTTAATTCGTCTAGTTGTTGCGTACTTGTAGGTACTTTTAATTTATGTTATAAGGATAAATTATAGATATGCGTTAACGCTTGAAAACGCTTGACGAACTTGGGTCGCTTGTTTGTCGTAAATTAACGTAAATTTCATATAAATACATCTTTACGATGAAAAAGATGACTGTTTGGTAGTACATAAGTACAGTTTCTATTACGTACGTACAATTCTAAACTCAAACACGTTTTCTGCGTTATTTCTTCGATATTGCCAAGAAAGTGAAAAGTGAAATTGTTTTTGCAAAGGGTAAATTGGTCGCTATAGGATATCCGGCGATGTTACAAGGCGAATAATTATTGCCAGTTATAACTGAAACGAAAGCAATACGAGATGATAATTTTTCAAGAAGACAATGCTGCTGTTCGCGTCTAACGGCTTGTAATCAAGGAGGTAGTTTCGAGATTTTGGAGTAGAATTATTAGCATGGACAGCGTCGAGAAAATGTCGTTGAGCTTAAAGAAAGAGTAGAATCCGCTTCGGATTTTTATTGCGCATATTCGAAACGAAGCCAAGTATCGAACGAAAAAGTAACAAAATTAACGTAAAGTATATTTTTTCGTACCTTTTATCTACCGAAAAGCACGATGCGATCGATCAACTGTAATTTTATCGAAGGATATTCCTCCAACGTTTGATATCGATAACTAACTCGAGAATTGCAACAGGATTTGTGTTATATCGTCCTGGTAGATGGTTTATCAGCGAGTTATCAAGTATGCCGGGTCGAAGGAGGGTGGCTCCGAAGAGGGAGAGAAATTTTTAATTTAGAGCGAATCAGCAGCCGGGTGTTACGGCTAGTCGAGTTATTTTACTCTCGGCGCTTGTTTAAAATCTTGCAAAGTTAAGAGAACAGCTGCTTGGCGTAAACGAAACGAGCAAGATATTATCAAGCAAGGAATCGTGTCGTTTTCAAAGAAAATTAACTAAACGATATTAAGGTGCGATAGCTATAGTCAAAATTGACTGATATAATACGTCGGTAATAATAAAAGTTGCATATTTTTATACTCGTCTCTTTCGAAAGAACTCACCAAGCCAGAAGGTGGAAATATCACTGAAATACCGTGAAGCGTTTGAGCGTTTATTATCTTTACGGACTCGGAGGGAGAGTAAGTAAATGGGGAAAAATGCGTCGAATTTATTTATTTGTATGTCGGTATACTTTCACCTTTTTCGGTTACCCACTAGTAACCGTTACTAGTTACCGATTAGCTGGTCGGTGAAGCTTTTTCCAAAAAATCGGTTTCTATTTCTTTCACTTTTAAAATTGTTTCTATTTTTACCGTGTCTTTGTATAGAGCTTGCTGCAAAAAAAGTCATCGATTTCATTATTCGTTTCTTCGGAATACACGCGTTTAAGTCAATAAGCGTATAGTTTCACGCGATCGCTAACGATGTATTCGTAATTAATGGATTAAGCAGAATAACTTTCAAGGATAGCTTTTAATTACTTCCTGTAATCACCTTAATTCCGTTATGAATCTGTTACGCGTCCAATTAGCGTAAATTCACGAGGTATGTATCAAGGGTGTATAAGATATATTCTCTTTACGAAAGAAGCAAAACTTGAACTTGTTCCGAATTAAAATGCACTTTCTCTTTTGACGCTTGTCTTTCCGATATTATTTAATTGCAGGAAATAAGGAGAAAAACAGAAAATTATCAAGTTAACGAGTAGACCACACGGTTCTAAATCTCTCGCCTATTCAAAGTGGATTAAAAATAATATGTTAAATCGTCGAACGTCTCTCGTAGCTCGATTACCGAGTAATTCGTTTCTATGTATATTAAAATTAGCGAGCAGTATTAAACGTAAAGATCCGAATCTGTACAGGATGTTACGTATGCTGTTCGCCGTTCTTTTTTATTTTCTTTTCTCTCAAGCGCTAGTTTTTTATGAGAAACGGCAAAGGTCAAAGTTTTACGATCTTTTAAACGCCGTACAATGGCGTCAGTAATTTTTTTTTAATTTACCACCGTCCTTTAAATCGATAGTT